TGGTGATGGAGATGGATCCCAGGGCTTTGCATATTAACTATACACTGCCTTACCACTAAGCTTTAGTCCCAGCCCTGGGACAATACCTTTAATAGGGACTTTACTTACTTAAATTAAAGATGATCATATATCTGATCACCTTTAGAAGGAAGGATCATTGCTGCACAAAAAGTGCTTTTCTATAGAAAAGAATCTACAAAAATAACATCTATTATCATTATTTATTACATTTTAATCCTTTAGAATATAAGGATAAAGGGTGTCATTGCTCTTCCCCCACCTTTTTTTTTTCTTAAACAGAGAGGAAGGTAGGTAGGCTGAACCAAAATATTCACTCTATAAAAATCTATAAAGTAATGCAGAACATAAGAAGTAGTAAGAAAAAGAACAAAAAGCACCAATATAATCCATCTTATAAGAAATATATTAAAATTTTACTGTTAAACATAGCATGTAGATACACTAGTATGTCACTATTTTCATTCCTATATTTCTATAGCAGTCGGAGCATATTTGGCGTATCAGAAACTACAGAACAATTTTTCTACCCATCTTAAATACAGGAAGAATAATTGTATGTCATGAACCTGATGTACATTGGAGCAACAAGATATGGGGAATAAAGGATGCTTTGAAGACAGTAGGTAATTACTATTTTTAACATAGGTATAATCTCTACTTCCCTACTTATCAAGTTTAATTAATCGTTGGGCTCAGTGGGCTCTCTGAGATGTAGGATATATAATGGCTGTGGAATTGCCAGTTGCTTTTTGAAAAAAAAAAAAATGCTATTTGAAGTTTCGGGTTTTATCCCACTGAGTCCAGAGCCTGGCGAAGGAGTGACATGCAGAATGAGATACTAGAGCTTGTGAGTCCCCGTGGTTGGGTGCCTTGACATCATGCTGGGGTCTGCTCCCTGCTCCACCTGGCTGCTGTCATGGAGACGGACCTTGTGTGCCAGACACTGTGCTGAGGCTGACAGATGCAGCCTGAGGAGGAATGAGGTTTAGCCCAGCCCTCACCACACAGGCCCCAGGAAGTCAACCCTGCTGCTCAGGATGCAGTTAAGAGTAGTCAGATTCCTCTACCTGGGACCACCGTTGTGTTACCTTAAACATCTACAGCACACTGTACATTTCTGTGCATAACGGCACTAGTTTTTGAAATGTAGGTGCGATCAGACAAATAACCCAAGTTTTGTGGGGGATTTTCTTTTTAAATTTTTACAAAAACAGAAATAAGGATTGTTATTTGTTGAATTTTCCTCTCTTCTTTTGGAAACTTGGAGTTGGGTCCCTAGAGTCCAGATTGGGTGAGGGAAAAAGTTTTAAAAAATAAAATAAAAAATCACATAGAAGTGATAGAATTAAACCATGGAGCTCAGGTTATAGGTATGAAAACAAAAGTTCTCAGCGATGTTAACTTTCCCGAGTTCACGGTTTTTTGTAAGTATATTGAGCAAATGTAAAGCGAACTAGTTACCCTGCAGAATTTAGCTCCCTCTCAGGAAAGTATTTGGTAACAGTGCAGCCCTCGTAAACCATGAACTTCCTGACAGCTTGTTTATGGACGTTTAATAATTTTTACACTGTCTTGTAAAAAGTAGGTATTTGAGAAGCATTTGCTGGTTCAAATAGAATATAATAATAATTAACAAGGAGCTAACCTGTGTGTCAAAGACTTTGTTAGTCCAGGAGTAGAGAAAGGGTATTGTGTGGGGTGCAGAAGTAACTCTGGGGCTTTGATTCATGAGGCACACCTCCGCAGGGCCCAGGGTGGGTCTGGCTCAAAAATAACCCTTCCTCAGCCCCTTGAGGGAGGGCTCATGGGGTGCTTCAGGCTGACCTTGAACTCCTGGCCTCAAGCAATGCTCCTGCCTCAGCCTCCCAAGTAGCTGCAACTACAGTTGCACACCACCGTTCTGGCTTCTTTTTGTACCTTTATACAACTTTCCAAATTCCCTGTAGCTGAAGTCTCTGATTAGCTAAGGCACCCCAATTAGGCTGGGGTGTGGCTCAGGGGTGTGTGCTTGCCTAGCATGCAGCACGGCTCCCATCCCAGCACCACCAGAAGAGAAGAGAAAAAAAAAAAAAGCATTTTTAGGATTAGTGTGTCATTAGTCACATGAAGAAGGAGCAACATAAATGGGTAGTTTTCCTCCTAAACAGAAGCTGAAATCAGCCTCATGTGTAAAGGTGAGTGGATTTTACGATTGGTTCGGAAATGGGGATCATTTTAAGTGGCAATATGGGAATTAGTCCTGATAAACTGGGAGAACAATCAACCCAGAGGGGCCTGGAGTGGGGACCAGGAGGACTGGAGTCTTAAGACCAGGCAGGGTGAACTAAGCTCCTGTTCTGAGACCCAGCAGCAGGGCAACACGTGGGAGCTTGCTAGAAATGCAGAATTTCAGGCTTCATTCTGAGCCTAATGAAGCGGAATCTGCATTTGAACAAAACTCCCAATGATTTCTGAGCTCACTAAAACTCCAGATATCCTGCTGTAAAAAACCATTCTTCATTTCCAAATTGCACCCCAGAAGCTCCATGACTAAGAAAGCTGAGTAGTGCTTCCGCCCTTCTGCTTCTGCTGCAAATGACTTCCAGCTTCTAGGAGGAGGATCCAGGTATGTGCCATCAATAATGTGTTTATATTTTGTTTTGGATTAAGTAGGCTTTGAAACTGGCCTAGGAGCCCATAATGTAATATCTACAGGAAAATGCCTTCTGACTTACACAGCTAACCTCCAAGTAAGCTGTTAGAACCCAATTCCTTTATAAATTTGGACTGCCTTTCCTGATCCCCACAAAAGAACTATTCTTAGTCCAGGAGACAAAACTGGATTTTGGCATTTCAACATATAAATAGCATAGTTAATAATATAAGAGTTTCCATATTCAAATATCTGTGACAGTGAGAAAAAAAAAACCTAAGCAAAAAAAAAAAAATAACCTCTCAATATCATAAATTTAAATATCACAAATCATGCTTTTAAAACCCCATTGATTTGATTTCCAACTGAATGGAGAAATCAAAACACAGCCAATGAATGGAGAAAAGGATTTCTTTCAAGATTTCTTGGGGCTTAAAGACATTGGGAATGAACTCATGAACAGATCAGTTCCCAGCACAAAGCCAGGTGTAATGTCTATTCTAAGAAAATGTTTATCAAAACCACAAAAACATAAAAGATACGAAATCAAAAGAATGGATTAATAGAGGAAGATGATTCGGGGTAAATAGCGCATATATACTAAATTAAAAGGCATCTATTCTATTACTGAGGAGAAACAAACTTTTAAATGACCTTTAATAATTGCACATTTTATTTAGATACAATAAAACAACCTATGGAAAAGAGAGGAAAAACTTGTAAAATGTTACTAAAGTGAATTAATTTTCTTTGCAAACCTTCAAGTCTAGGTAATTACTCATTTGAGGAGTGCTGCCATTTGTGTTCATTGGCAAACTGGTAACCTCTAAAAATACAAGAAACTAAAAAATAACTCCTTGATTAATATGTATTTTGAATATTTTTCTCTAAATCATATCCTCCAAGATGTAACTAAAGAATTAATATACAACAAAGTTAAACTAAGTGTTATATCTCAGCGTTAATTTTTTAAAGAGTTTTAACAAATCATTCTTCCATGCAAAATCAAATCCCTGAAATGTAAAATGTTTCTTAAACATTTAGTTTTAATCCAGTTCAAACCAAGTCAAAAACTTTCAAGCTAGTAGTTTCTATGAATGAATTGAAACAATATACTTCAACTGTAACCAGCATA